GCGACAAAAGAGAAAGAACGCAACAACGAAATGCAAAGATGTGTAACAACAATAAAGAAATAGTAGTGCAACAGCAAAATGCAAAGAGACGTGATAAAGAAAAAAAAATGCATAAAAAAATATATTAACTTAAAAAATAAGATTTTTTATGTTGGTGTCAAGATCTTTTATGTCAATTATTTTTATAACTGATATAAAAAGTTAATACCTTTTAAGTTACTAGAATTTATGATAGGTTTAAAATTTACATAAAAAGAAAATCATTTTTACTCATTAAAATTGTCTTATACATTTTAAGCATACAATTGTATTAAATTATTAAAAAGAAAATTTTTGCTATTTATAATACTTTTATCGGACTCAATAAAATTGTTTGTTATAGAAGATATGCTAAACCAGACAGACGAAATTAAGAAAAAGGGGTTTACAGTTGAGGTGATGTTTGCATGGTGAGCAGAAATTATGGAATGTGTTTGAGTGCAGTTGCAGTACTTGCGCACCTCATAAACCATTAATGACTCCTCTTTTGTCCCTCTCTTCCAAGACAAATTCCCCCACCATTACAATTTTCAACAAACCCGCTTCTCCATTTCTTTACCATATATCTCAAATCTCAACTTAACAAATTAAATTAATTACTACCATTTTTTGTGTGGCAATGGTAGAAGGCATATTTAGATAAACAAAATGGATTACACGTCTTTGCTTCTGTTTATTAAATAGCTTTATCTGTTCCTTTTAAAGATGGAAAGGAAAAGCAAAAAGGGTTCCATGCTTTGTTTTTAGTTTCAATTTGATTCATAGTGGAGGCATAAAGAAAATTGCTGAGCTAACGTTAACAAAATGTTCTCTTGCATTATTCCTTCGATCGCCTTCAATCTTTCATTCTAACCATATGAAATTTATTTATTACTACTATTATTTTTAAAGTATATGTATTTTTCGTCCTACAAATTTGAATTTAGCTATTAAAAGAAATTGTCTTATTTTTGTCAAAACATGTTTTATTAAATACTCTTTTCAAATGGTCATAAATTGATATTTAATGACAGATATGAATTGCCAAAAAGAATATACTTTTAACATTAAAAAGAATCATTTTCAATTATATATGGACGAAAATAACATAACATTTTTAGAGGATTAAAACTGAATTCAAAAAGAATTTTTACTACTAATAAGATAACTTTTTAAGGGACTAAAAGGATATTTTACTAAATATCTTCCATTTTTTAAAGGCAATTATGTATAATTAAAATAAAAAGAGGAAATTATGTGTAACTAAGTTCTGCTCAACTTTTATTTCTAAGTAGTGCTAGCTAGACATTATTTGAATGGAAAAAAAATGAAAAACAAACAAAAAAGGATGAAAAATATCATTTTTTTTAGTTCACAAAAGAGTCGGGTACAATCTCTCTTGAGGTTTGATCGATCACTTAATTAAATGGACACAAACTGGCATCAATTTAAGTTAGTGAAACATATTAAATTACAAAATACTCAAAGTTGATGTTAATAAATTATAAAAATTTAAACTTTGGAATAATTTGCTGATAAAAACTTTACCTCGTAGTTTAAAATTTGACATTATTTCTATCATCTTATTTCATATTTATATAAGAAATATCATAAAATTACAGGTAAACGTAACTTATATATATATATATATAGAGTATATCAAGTGAGAGGAAATTTATTATGAGAGATGAGAGGGTTAAAATATAACCCTTAGATTAATCAAGTGAGAGAAAATTTGGGGTTTAATCAAGTGAGAGAAAATTAATCTAAGGATTATATTTTAACCCTCTCATCTCTCATAATAAATTTTCTCTTACTTGATATGCTCCCTATAATGTAACATCTCATGTTAAAAGATTAAATATTTTGTGGACCAGTTTAAACGCAACACTATAGTCTAGTTTTTACTAATGATTTATTACTACAACACAAATAATTTTTAGCAACATTTGAAAAATGTTACTTAATTATGTATATGTTGTATATAGTCCATATTGCTAAAGACTTTTAATAACATTTTTATATAATTAGGCAACATTTTTCAAATGTTAGCAAAGTAGTATTTTTGTAACATTTTAATGATGTTGCTAATATTTTGTTAATTTATAAAATAATAATTAATTTTAATTTAGATATAATACTATCAATTATTATATTTTTAGGGGAAGACATTTTTAATTAGTTACCAGTAATTATATATATAATATCAAATTTCATTTATCTTAAGTATAATGGTTATATATACTCTTTATGAGTCATTAATCTATTCGATGTGAGACTTTAATTATGGATAATAATTAGAGATAAGAGAAATATTTTTTTTACTCGATGTGAGACTGATTTTAGAAACAATTGTAGTAATATTTTTCAAAAAAAATGTTGCAAAAATAACCTATGTAAATTTTTTTTACTCGATATAGGACTTTAATTTTGAAAATAATTAGAAAGAATAATATTAAAATAAAAATGTTACTCTATCTATAATGATATTTTTAAAAAAGTGTTGCAAAATAACATATTTATTTAATATTTAATAACATTTTAACAAATATATACAAGAAAATGTTGTTAAAAAATTAAAATATAGTATTAATGTATGAAAATCATAAGATTAAAGTTAATTAAAAGTAATTAGATATCCAATATTCAAGTATAACAATTTTTACTTGTTCTTAATTATTGTTCTTGTGTAGAAATGCAAATTTTTTGTCGGGTGATGTAGTTTGGTCAATGCACTTTGGAAAAGATGTGGACAGCAAACACCGCGTCACATAAATAGATGTGTTGCGGCAATATGCAAGTCAAGTCATGAAGCACGTTGCTTAACCCTCATAACCACCACCTTATCCAAACCCCAAGTACTTCACCGAGTATTATTTATATATTCCACTCTTCTCCTTCGTGTCTTAGTGTGAAAGGATCTAAAATCATTCCTACGCGTCACTTTTTCCTCTCTGCCACATATTCACATATTAGTCACCACCACCGTACGTGTTCGTGTGGGCACCCATTTGCCAGCCAAATTCCATGGTTCTAGAATTCTACTTGTTACTTTAAAAGCTTCTAAAATAATTTGGAAATGAATGAATAATCATGTTCAAATTGAATCCCTAGCTAGTTTCCTTTTCCAACTTTTTTATTTTATTTTTATTTTCTTCTATGTATCTAGTTTCATGCCAAAAGTCTTGTTTATGTGGACAAACCTTTCCTTCGTTTCCCTTTCCGTAACGCTTTGTCCAATTCTAAAACCGGTCAAGTTCAGCTTCTAAAGCCCCTCCCAACCAATTACACGCTCACAAGTGGCGCAACAACAATACATTGAATTTTAGATTGCATACACGAATTTTAAAAATAATAACCATTTCTAAAATAAAATTACTTCCTCTACTCTAATTACAACCATATAGTACTGTCATTTTTTGTTCTGGTATAAGGAAATAAATTCTCAAAGATTAGTGTGAAGATCGACTATGTTCATTCATTCAAGTATGTTTCATAACTCAACTTGAGAGATTTGTCCAAATCTTATTTTATATTGGAAAAAACGCCCCAAAAAAGAAGCAAGAAGAAGAAGAAGAAAATGTTGGAGTTGGAAAATTAATACAACACTAACTTTGCCTTCTAAGGTGAAGTATTACATTTATTTGAAGTTGGGGATTTGGTAATTTTCCTGTTTATATATAATTTAGGCTGAATTAGGCAAAGCAAATTGAGGTAAAATATCATGTTGAGAAGGCAAAAGAGAGCTAACTATATAATACGATGATAGCAGGTGCCACATACTTAATGAGGAAGTTCGGACCCGCGTGCCGAATTGTCCCATTAATTTCTCCACATTAGAGAGAACAACCCTCAAACATCTTCCAAAAGATACGACTAGATTTGGGGACCTTACCAAAATCCAAACTTCACATGCAAACAAATTTTCCAGATTAATAAAAATTAACACAATAATATTATAATATAAATATTTAATGGAATTGCGAGGATGCACGTCACGAGCCTTGTAGTTTAACTAAACCCTGTGACTAAAGCCACACACAAGCATCATGGGCATTTCCAGACATCCTTACGAGCCTCTAGCATTGTCTGCACAACTACGTGGACCAACACATTTGCGCCACGTGGGGGCTTCCCCATCCACTTCAATTTTACTCTCTCCTCCTCCTACCACCACCGTGTTATGTTCCCCTTTGCCAACTATTAACATCTACCTCTCAACCACATTCCCCACTACAACCACATGTTCAAATTAATATTCCTACGCAACACGACAAATTATAACTCAAATATCAACCCCGCAATATTAATATTAATAAAAACCCAACACCTCTTCTTAATTGATAAAATAATTCCACCCTTAATTGGATCAAAATTCAAAACATGAAACATGAAAAGGCTTTGAAAATAACCGCTTCATTCTACTATATTATAAACAATATTAGGTAACAATCGTGTAATAGGGACATAAAAGTGTATACGATGATGTACTATCTAATTCAAATGGAATAAACCAAAAGTTAATTAAAATAAAAAAAAAACTTAAAAACAATAATCTAGTTGATCTTAATTGAAGGCAAACATTGTTATTACTTATTACACTCGTGTTGTTGAGAAGTGCGGAACTAGACTTGCTCGTAGAAAAAATCCATTTCCTTAATTGAATTGCTTGACCTAAATGTACTTGAATAATCCGTGGCTTAAGGAAAAAGGTGGTGGAAGTGAAACTGAAAGGTGGCATAAAAATGTTATGGATAAGGATTAAAAAACGGAAGGCATAAGAAAAAAAGAGTGTCCAGTAGTTGATTCCCACAATCCTCCATTTACGTCAAAAACATTACCGCTCTTTCAGATGTCCATCTCAACGTCACCACCGCTTTTCTTAATTATCCACTTTGAAAAAAATGCCACGCTGTCACCAAACACCGAATGTTATTAGAACAAACACGCACTACCACACTAGGTTGTTTATAAATACCCCGTCTTCAGACACACACAATCACATACACAACAAATGTCAATTACACTTTTGAGTTCGAATTAAGAACATGGCTTCGTGGGTGAGAGGCAAGTGCGTCGGTAAGGGCGCGTTCGGCGTTGTCAACATCGCGCTTTCCAAACACGACGCTCGCGTTTTCGCGGTGAAGTCGGTCGACATCAAGGCGGGGCGACAGGGACAGGTGGAGGCGTTGGAGAACGAGATTGCGATTCTGAGACGCCTGGCCTCGCCGCACGTGGTGGCTTATCTCGGCGACGATGTCACGTGCGAAGAGGGATTCTTCATCAGGAACCTTCATTTGGAGTACATGCCAGGTGGCACCGTCGCTGACTTGGCTCATGCTGACGTGGACCAGCGGTTGCTCAGGCGCTACGCCTGGTGCATCGTTAGCGCGCTGCGTGATGTGCACGCGCGAGGTTTCGTCCACTGCGACGTCAAGGGGAGGAACGTGCTCCTCGCCGCTGATGGCTCCGTCGCCAAGCTCGCCGACTTCGGCGCCGCTGTCGCCGCCGAGGCCGCGGTTATGCCGCGGGGGAGCCCGATGTGGATGGCACCGGAGGTGGTGCGGCGGGAGCGGCAGGGGCCCGAGGCGGACGTGTGGTCGCTCGGGTGCACGGTGGTGGAGATGGTGACGGGGAAGCCGGCGTGGGAGGATCGAGGTGTGGACACGCTGAGTCGAATCGGTTACTCGGACGAGTTGCCGGAGTTTCCGAGCAAACTGTCGGAGCTAGGGAGAGATTTTCTCGACAAGTGTCTGAGAAGGGAACCAAGGGAACGGTGGAGCTGCGATCGGCTGCTGCAGCATCCATTTTTGCTTCCCTGCGACCGCGTTTTGGAATCGTCGCCGAGGTGTGTTCTGGACTGGGTTGACTCAGAGTTCGCCGAGTCGGATAACGAACGTGAACACGAAGAGGAGAAAATAATGTTAAATTTTAACCGCAAAGAAAATTCAGTAAAAAATAGGATTAGTAAATTAGCGGCGGGGTCGAGGGTAAATTGGGAAAGTGAGGGTTGGGTTGTGGTGAGGGAAATCGAGTGGAATGGAGAACCATGGACAAGTGGAACAGAAAGAGCGTGTGATGATGGTGTGAGTTGGAACAAAGAAAGGGTAAATTGGGATTTTTTCAATGCGGTGGGGACTGGTTTGGAATATTGTGATTTTGGAGGGGTAAAGTGGGAAATGCAAAAGTTTGATAACAGAGGTGAAGGGGGTGGTGGTTGGAACAGGTATGGGTGGCAAAAGTTGGATAGGAGTAGAGGAATATTGAGCATTTACAGATTGAGTTGTAAAAATTTCATGTCGAGTTATATGTTATTTTTAATGTATTTTAATATATTATGCCTTTCGATTACTTTTGTTGTTTACCTTTTACTGCACGTGACTCAAATAATAAAAGGGGCTTTTGGGGAAAAAATGAATGGGAAAGGAAAAGGGTTTGCAAATTGCAACTGAGATGGAAGAATGGAGCGTGATTGAGATTCATCCCATGGGGTGATGGGTGGGACAATAAATTGGGTGGTGTGAACTGTGAAGTGAGAAATGATGCACAGTTGGACACAGAATGGATGCCTCACTTTAGTTGTGTCAATCATATGGGAGATCCGATCTAGGTTGGGAATTTAACAAAATGAAATGAAAAATGAGAAGAGGTGGAGCAAAGATTAAAAAAAAACAAATAACGAAGCTAATTAGATGATTATATAATGACCCTCCAAAGTGAAATACATTGAGGTAATAGATTATTATATAATGGATCCTATCCTGTGTTTTGTGGGGTGATTTAACAGGAAGAGATGGATTGAGTAAACTTTTTTTAAAAAATATATTTGTGTACGATGATACAGGATATTTAAGGAAAATCATTAAAAATAAAAATGGATCTCACAGTATTTTTTATATGTTGAATTGAGAATATTCTTATCAAATTTGAGAAATAACAAGTAAAATTATAAAATATAAAAAAATTACAATTCAAACTATATTATAAAGAGAAAATAAAATAGTAATTTTAAATATTATTTATTTTATGTAAAAATTTATTTATATAAATTATAGTTTTAAAATAACATTTTTCTAAATTTTTTAAACTAATTTTATTTTATTAAATAACTACAAATTTTATTCTATTTTTTTTATCTTTTTTCTGTTAAATTAATTTTTATATATTCTTTCACTTTTTTTCTTTTTTTTTTTGTTCATCTCCCCAAACAAAACATAAATAATTATATGATGACCCTATAAACTAGGAATAGAGTGAAATAGAATGAAGTAATTAGATGAATATATAATATCATTAGAGTTAGTGTAATTATTAATATAATTTTTTTTAAAAAAAATTACTATCAAATTTAATATCGTGTACATATTATTTTAACCTTCATTATATTAGTGATTTTATTAAAATAATTTATTTTATTTGGTAAAATATAATATAATAGCTCCAATATGCTTACATAACTCACCAGCTTGTTTTGTTATCAAGTTGAAAGCGAGTAACTGCATGTTGAGTGTTGACCCATCAAATTAATATATCATTGCATTATTTTAAACTTTTTATTGTTCGATATTTTTAAGGATTAGTTTGTAATAAACTTGTATTAATGAATTAATTTGTTTGTGAATTTATTTGATTAAAGTGTTTTATTTTTTAAGAAAAATAATATTGTTCTGTTTGTCTAGCGAGAAATATTATTTTATTATCAACTATTATTTTGACATTTTTTCTATTATTATTTATTCAATTTTTTGAGCTTAAGAGAACCAATAATAATGAAATAAGATTATCATACATGATTATTTGAATGTGGAAAGTTAGTTCTATTCTACCATTAACATTTTTCACAACATGCGTATATATGCAATGAGTATAAAATTTCTCAATTTTTATGTCTTAGACTCAATAGACATATTTAACGAGAGTTCTTAGGAGTTATTTTTTTAATAAAATATATTTTTAATATATTTTTAAATAAGAGTGCTTTTTTAGAGAAACTTTAATGTAAATATTTTAAAGATGTTTTATTACACTTTAATGAGTCATGGATTATCACATCATATTTAAGTAATTCATAACCAGCTCATTAATATTTTATTTCAATGGTTAAATTTTAAGCAATCCTCAAAATATTTACACTTTTATATACTTTTATTTACAATCAATTTTGTATGAAATTCAAATACTAATTCAACTATTTTTTTAAAAAAATATTAAATCAAAACTTCAATTTAGCTTTAAAAATTAAATGTGCAACCGTTCTTAACAAATGAAACGCTTCTTTTCCCATAAAAAATGAAATACTCTCTTTTTATTTTTTCTTCAATTTCTCATGTCCAATTGCTCTCACGATTTCCCCATCCCTTAATCTCAACCTCTCAACCCTTCAAACCCTGATCCTAAAAGTCTCCCTTTGTGTCTCAGTCTCTCTAATGTCGCACCAATTTCACAACATTTGGCAAGATGACATTGTCATGCTCCTACACCACAACTGTCCTGAATTCACCTCATCTTCCTCAGTGTCTCCCACTGTGGCGCCATTGTCACCACTGTCAATCCCCTCTCCCTCCCTCCCTCCCTCTCTCTCTCTCTCTCTCTCTCTAATTATTCACTCATGATGAAATATTTTTAGTCTTGAATTCTAAGATACTATAATGTCTTATGTTAATTTTCTTTTTTAAAATATAAAAAATTCTAATTTCACAATATAAAAATTAAAAAAATAAAATTTATAGTAAAAAAAAGAAATAAAATAATTTTTGAGTCATAGAAGGGGAAAGATAACAGTAACAAATTCAAGACGGGGAGAGAGATCGCAATTTTTGTGTTGAGGGGGTTCTTCCCCCAACTAAGATTCATTCTTATCTCATTCTACTCATATGTTGCGAGCAACTTCAAACCCCAAAAAATATTTAAGATTGCCCAGATCCTTAATCTTAAAGGCAACATCAAGAAGACCAGTAATAAGTTGAATTTCAGAAAGATTGTTGCCAACTAAAACAATATCATCCACGTAAATGAGGATGGCTGTAGTAGATGAATCAGAAAATTTCAGAAACAAGGAATGATCCGATGCAGATTGATGATAGCCATGTTGAATAAGAAAAGAAGATAATTTTGCAAACCACTGTCGACTAACTTGTTTCAGGCCATATATTGATTTTTGCAATTTGTACACTTGGTTGGAATATGTTGGACGCATGCCGGGAGGAAGACTCATGTAAACTTCTTCATTCAAGTCTCCAGGAAGAAATGCATTATTCACATCTAGTTGCTTGACATGCCAATCAAAAATAGCTACAAGGGCAAGAAGGAGTCGGACTGTGGTAAGCTTGGCAACTGGGGAAAAAGTAGCAAGGTAATCTAAGCCTTCCACTTCTGTGTAACCTTTCGCAACAAGTCTCGCTTTGTACCGCTCAATGCTACCATCTGCATTATACTTGATCTTGTATATCCAACGACACCCAACAACTTGCTTGTTAGGTGGTAGTGGAGTGAGAGTCCAAGTGTGATTCATTTTCAATGCCTCTAATTCAGCTTGCATTGCCTTAAGCCAGCAGTCATGCTTGACAGCTTCAGCGTACGAGTGAGGATCGGAAACAGCAGAAATGGAAGACAAAAGCTTAAAAATCATTAGAAAGACGGGAATAAGAAATATATTTCTCAATAGGATAAAGTATACCTGGATGAAGATTGGTAGAAGTTGATGTGAGAGAGTGGTGATAATCTTGCAAGTAAGAGGGCGGGTTGCGGAGTCTAGTTGAACGACGCAATGGAGAAGAATTTGGTTGAAGAGAATTTGCAGTAGTAGAGTCTGGAGCTAAAGGAATGGAATCATGTGATGTTGTGACAGGATTTGAAGAAGTGACATTGTGTTGGAGAGGATCGGGTAAAACAGAAATCAAGTCATGAGAAGGAGAATGAAGGCCAAAAGAAATGGGTGAAATAGCGGGAATATTGGATGCAGATGATGTGGATTGCAACAGTGGAAAATGATTTTCATAAAAGGACACATTACGTGAAATTGTAATGACTCCAGTATGAAGGTCATAGGTGATGTAGCCTTTGGTAGTAGGTGAAAAGCCTAGAAAGACACAAGGGTGAGCTCTGGGGTCTAGTTTCTTTCGATTGGCAGTGGAAGTAGACACGTAGCATAAGCATCCAAATACTCTCAATTCAGTGATATCACAAGTTTGACCATAAAGTTTTTGAAAAGGAGTTTTATTATCAAGTAGAGGTGTAGTGATGCGGTTAATTAAATACGTGGCATGTAATAATGCATAACTCCAAAAACAATAGGGTAATTTTGAATGAAAAAGAAGAGCATGAGTAACATTCAACAAATGTTGATGTTTGCGCTCAACGACTCCATTTTGCTGCGGAGTTTCAATGCAAGTGGTTTGATGAACAATCCCTTTAGAATTAAAAAAATTCTGCATTAAAAACTCAGCACCATTGTCTGTTTGAATTGTTTGAATTCGAGTATTAAATTGATTTTCAATTAGATTAATGAAATTAGAAATGTGCATACGGGTTTCAGATTTATTAATCATTAAGAAAATCCATGTGAAATGAGTGTTGTCATCTACAATGGTAAAAAAGAATTTATGACCATGTATGGAAGATATGCAGGAGTAGGGTCCCCATATATCCATATGTAAAAGAGAAAAAGGACGTGATGCAGTAGAATGACTGGATGAAAATGAAAGTTTACGCTGTTTGGCATAATGACAAAGTTACGGGTACAAAATAATTTTTAAAATTTTTAATTACTTTCAATTATTCACTCATGATGAAATATTTTTAGTCTTGAATTCTAAGATACTATAATGTCTTATGTTAATTTTCTTTTTTAAAATATAAAAAATTCTAATTTCACAATATAAAAATTAAAAAAATAAAATTTATAGTAAAAAAAAGAAATAAAATAATTTTTGAGTCATAGAAGGGGAAAGATAACAGTAACAAATTCAAGACGGGGAGAGAGATCGCAATTTTTGTGTTGAGGGGGTTCTTCCCCCAACTAAGATTCATTCTTATCTCATTCTACTCATAGAAACCCTAACTCAAATTCATCTAATAAATCAAAATTAATTACAAGGTCTTGAAGATCTACAGCTGATTATAGAGATTATGATATCAATTTTAGTTTTCACCTTTCCCTTTTCTTAACGCGTGTTATAAAAAAATTACCATTTAAACATTAAAATTTCAAGCATTTTCTGTGTTATATAACTGAGGAACAATCTCAGCTAAATAGAGAAAAATAGAGCAAGTCAATTAAAGAGAATAGAGAGAAAAATAAAGTAAGTCAATGACACTATCATTTACGTATAGAAATTTTACCAAATAGGGAAATGAAATGGACATGAGCATAGAAAAAAAAAAGAGATGAAAAACTCACTTGAAAATTCTTGAAGCACTTGAAAAGTCACTTCAAACAATTCTCCAAAATCTAATAGGTGTGGATGAGATTGTTTTATGAATTTGATATTCCTTCAAAATCTCTCTAATATAACAATCTTTTAAAATTCTTATAATTATTTTTTAGTTATAAAAAGTCTCAAATAAATACTAATGAATTTTAATAGACTTTTTAAAAAATATTAAAAATCTAGATTGAATACCATTAAATTATTTTTAAGTAATATAAAATCTTGATCGTATACCAACAAATT